CAAGACATGTGCCCCAATCAGAATCAGAAAAAGCTTAATTTGAATGGTAGATGATGAAGGAAAGAAGAGACCCTGTCAGGTGTTCTCTTGATGTACTGAAGAATCCACAAAGCAACTGAAGGTGACTGGTCCTTTGAGCAGCTAAGAACTGACTCATTCTATTGACAGAATAGCATATATCAGGACGAGTGATGGTCAAGTACAACAATTTTCCAATCAGTCGCTGATAACTTGTGATATCACACAGAGGTTCTCCATCATCTTTGGATATCTTAAGATTGGATTCCATTGGAGTAGATGAGGGCTTACAACCAAGGTACCCAGTTTCAGTCAACAGATCCAAAGCATATTTTCTTTGACATAAGGTGATTCCTGTGTCATTTCTTGCAATTTCAAGTCCAAGAAAATATCAAAGAGTTCCCAAATTTTTCATATTAAATTTTTGTTTGAGTGCAACTTTGAGTTCTTCGACGGCATGATTATCATTAACAACAATAACAATATCATCAACATATACCAACAATGCTAGAAAAACATTACCCTGATGTTTGACAAATAATGAGTGGTCACATTGTGACTGATGGAAACCTTCTTGAAGTAATACTTGTGAGAACTTATGAAACCACTGTCGGGAAGCCTGTCTCAACCCATAGATTGACTTGTGTAGCAGCCAGTGAAAGAAAAATTTTTACAGTAACCAATTTTGCAACTAGAGAGAAAGTGTCAATGAAATCAATGCCAAATTGTTGTGTGTAGCCCTTAGCAACCAGACGGGCTTTGTGTCTCTCTACGGTCCCATCGACTTGATATTTAACTTTATAAACCCACTTACAATCAACAGATTTCTTCCCAAGTGGAAGAGAAACAACAGACTAAGTATTATTGTTCTCCAAAGCACGTAGCTCCACATTCATAGCGGTCCTCCAAACATCGGACTGGATAGCCTCAGAGAAGGTGGTAGGCTCAGTGTGGGAGGAAAAGGCAAAAATAAAGTTGTGATATTGAGGTATAAGTTTTATATAAGTAAGGAATGAGGAAATGGGGTATAGTACATGTGTATCTATATGATAGCAGTGATAGTCAGACATATAAGAAGGTGGTCGTATGACACGCAGAGGTCGAGGTGGTGGGGTTTGGGACGAGTCATGCGGTGAGTGGGTAGGTGAATCAAGAGAAACTAGTGAGTGTGTAGGTGTATAGAGAGGAAGAGGTAAAACACGGTCATGAAAAAAGTCATTGTGAATGGGACTAGGTGAGTGGATTGAAAGAAATAGAAAGATATGTTCATGAAAAATAACGTTTCGAGAGATCATGATTTGATTGCTCTCAACGTCGAGAAGTTTATATCCTTTGTAACCTGAAGGGTAATCGAGGAAGACACAAGCTCTAGAACGAGGTAAAAATTTATGGCGATGACTATCAAAAGTGGAGCAATAGCATAGACAACCAAAGGTACGCAAATGATCATAAAATGTTTTTTTGTGAGTTAATAGTTCAAATGGAGTTTTGTTAGATAACAAGGGGGAATGTGTACTTTTGATCAGGTAAACAGTAGTCAAGACGCAATCACCCCAATAGATAATAGGGACATGGGATTAAAATAGTAAGGCACGTGCCACATTTAAAATGTGTTGATGTTTGCGCTCGACAACTGAGTTTTGTTGAGTAGTCTCAACACAGGAATGATAAGAAACAATGCCTTTTGACTTGAAAAATGAATAAAAACTCAATTCATGCGCATTGTCAGAACTCACATATTTAATGAGAATTTCATATTGTGTAAGGATAAGAGTATAAAAGTCAGGAAAAATGGTAAGAACATCCGACTTTTGATGAAGAAGATACACCCAGGTAGTGTGAGTGCAATCATCAACAATGGTGAGAAGTATTTGTATCCCTCAATAGTAGTGTAGAAAAAGGACCCCAAATGTCAATGTGGATTA